TGCCAGACAGAGATCACAAGCAGGCAGAGAGGCAGGCAGAGAGAGAGAGAGGGAAGCAGGCTCCCTGCTCAGCAGAGAGCCCGATGTGGGGCTCGATCCCAGGACCCTGGGGTCATGACCCGATCGGAAGGCAGAGGCTTTAACCCACTGAGCCACCCAGGTGCCACTGCTCCATCCCTTTTAAAGGCGGCATCACAATTCCGTGGAATGCATAGGCCATGTTTTGTTCATCCATCCTTCTGTGGACGGACGTTTGGGTGGTCTCCCCCTCCTCGCTATCGACTACGGTGCTGCTGTGGACATCTGTGTGCAGGTTTTCGCGGGAGTCCCTGTGCTCGGCTTCTCGGGTCTGTCCCCAGCAGGGGAGCTGCCAGGTACCACAGGGACTCTTAGAGGAGCACCCCCCACGTGTCCCCAGGCCCCCGCACGTGCCTCTCCTGGCGTGCCCCACGTATCCTGCTGACCACACGGTGGCAGTTGGCATGTGGGGCGGGCGTGGCAAGTCGCTGCCCCCTGTGCTGCGTGTTCTGGGGCCTGAGAAGGGGCGGGACAGTGGGGCACTCTGTGGGGCACTGGTTCTCCCGGATACTTCACGGTGTCTCTCCGGCTGGTCCTTTTCGTTCCCCATCTAAGAATGCTCGCTCTCATGGCTGGAAGGGCCGTCACTTCCGACCTGACCACCCGTGGGTCCGGGAGTGGGAATCGAGAAGCGGGTGTTGGATGGTGTTTATCAGACCCTGTCTGTTGTCCCGAAAGCCACGCTTGCTGCTTTGATGAAGTGACACCAAGCTCTGAAGTCTGTCTTCGCGGGGGGCTGTCCGAGTCAGCAAGTGTGCTCTCAGCGCAAGTGTTGGCGTTCGCGGGGGCCTTTGCCTCCTGTCATCCCCCCCCCCGCCCGCTGCTCTTACTTGGATCCCGGGACCTGGCCCGGTGCCGCCGGACCGCCGTTTACAATGACCGCAGTCTCGCGAACGGTAACTCAGCCTCATGAGAGCTTTCCGAGGATAAATGCCATTTACGTCCTCAGAGAAGTCTCCCACCCAGCCTCCAAAATGTAAATTATAAGTTGTAAAGATAATGCGGGGCTCGCATGGCCTGGGGACGGTTCTTCCCGAGGATGGCACCTAGCACTTAAGCAGCCCTTAATAGGCACTTGGACGTGTTTTCCAAAGCACGCTGCTGTAACAGAGCGAGAAAACAGATTATTTTTTATACTCATCTCACTGTTGCTGAACCAAAGGTGGAATCTTTGAGGATGTAGCTTCTCAGATCTTGTGATCTCATCAACTGATATAAAAGAAAATGAAGAAGATTATCCAGGAACCAAGGTACTGGGTGGCCTGGTAAAAGCCTCCCTTGGATTCACCCAAGAAGGGTTCCTGGGACAATCATGTGTCTTCTATTGATGTCACTCTCAAAGTCCCTGTAACATAGAAAGGACAGGCATTCTAATATAAAATGCTTCTTCTGTGGGTAGAGAAACCGAGGTTCAGTGATGGACCTTTTCTAGTCAGATGGTTGGCTGAGAGGGAGTATAAGGCTCAGCTGGGGTCACCATGTACAGTGGTACAGGCCGTGCACTGCACAACACAGGGGAGGAGAGCATCACCAGGATGAACAGAGCAGCCCCTGGCGTCACAGTTTGGCCACCTGGCTAAGCTCCTGTTATCAGCAGCTCCTTGTCCTGCCTTCTAGCCCAGTGTCCTCGATCCAATAGGTACTTCTTTACTCCTTTGAAGACCTGAAGATTTCTTTTCGAATGAACTGTGCAGTTGTCATTTCCTTGTTAAAAGACACGGATTTAATTAATTTAATTAAATTAATTAATTTAATTGATTTAATTAAATTCTCCTCTTTTTTTTTTACAACTGCCTGTTTTGAATACCATTATAAAGAAGTATAAAATTGCACCGTATTACAAACTCAGGCAGACCCCAGAGCTCTATGGGGGACACCAAGTCTTGTTTTTAGGGGCTATGGGAAGGGCTGTCGGGGCCGGAAAGCACGTCCCCTCTGTGGGGAGGAAGGAGCCCTGTGTGCCGTGAGCTGATTGGGAGGCCTGGAGGCACTTCATGCGTACCACGGGGGTTAATCCAGGCCACCTGCTGCGGGCCGGTCTTGTCGTCACCCGGGTTGGACAGATGGGGACCGTAGCTGGGCTGCCTGGCCCAGCCCGAGCCGGCTGTCTGGCTGCCCGCTCCTTTTCTAGAACTTCAAGACCTGTGTGCTTACATTGTTGGTGGTATGAGCAGGCTCCCCGGCCCAAGCCAGACGCTGTCCAAGGGCTGTCTGGAGCACGTGCTCGGGTCCTAGAGGGGCAGTTCAGGAGACTAGGGGGGTGCCCAGGGACAGGGTGGGGCTGCCTGGTGTTGCTGTCATGGACACTAACCACAGCCTCCTTGAGAAGGGACCCTGCTTCTTCCAGAAGTGAGCCAGCTCTCTCCAAAGCCACCAGTTGGGGAGGAATTCTTATAACCAGTGCTCAGTGGGGAGACCGTGTGTGTGAGGCCCTCAGGGACGGCTGAGGAGGGAGAAGCTCCGAGGCAAGTGGGGCTTGGCCTTGGGGCAGGAAGTGTGCCCGGCTTCCAGTAAGGGGCACAGGAGGGTCATTCCAGGACGAGGGAAGACCTGGCCCAGGAGTGCCTGGGGGCCCAGGGGGGTCCACTCTCTAGAACGTGAAAGTATGAGTGGGACCCAGGTCGGGAGGTGTGTGGCCGCGGGGCCCGCCATTGCTTGGACGCCAGGCAGAATATGGGGAAGGAGGCACCTCAGGGCTGTGGTGCTGGCTGCTGTAGAAAATTCACAACCGGGTGGCTAAGGACACCAGAAATTATTCTGTGATGGTTATGGAGGCCGGAAGTCCAGGATCGAGGCGTCAGCGGGGCTGAGCTCCGTCTGAGGGCTCCAAGGGCAGGCCCCCCTTTGTCTCTCAGATGCGGGTGGTGCTGGCGGCCGCTGGGGCTCCTTGGCCTGGGGTGCCTCCCTCTGTCTTCCTCCATCGCCACACGGCCTTCTCCCAGGGCTCTGTCTCGGCCTCGTAAGGTCCCCAGTCACATGGGACCAGGGTCCACTGTGCTGCACTATACCTCGTCTCTGCTAATCACACCCGCAGACCGTTTATTTCCACGGAAGGTCACGTTCCAAGGTGCTGGCAAGGACATACATTTTAGGGGTGCCCAGTACAGCTGGTTTAGGGAACTAATTAAAAACAAGGCTGTCCACACATGGCCTTCCTATGTCCTCAGTGCCTGTGCGCGGGTGGCACGTGCCCGCCGGTGGGAGCACATGCTGATGCCTTCTATGCTTTCTCTTCCCGCAGCCCAACATCGGCCGCCTGGGCCTGCCGCACGGGCCATCTGGAGAGAAGGTGGCCGTGGTGACCGTGGACGACTGTGACACGGCCGTGGCTGTGCGCTTCGGCAGCCTTGTCGGGAACTACAGCTGCGCTGCCCAGGGCACACAGAGCGGCTCCAAGAAGTGAGCATCCCGGGAGAGGGGAGGCCCAGGCACCCCCCGTCCCCGACCCCACCATGACTGCTACTCCCCAACAGGGTCGTCCAGGGCAGGACCCTGATCAGATAGATGCAGGGCGCCTTGGACTCAGCACCCCGGCAGCCCCGTCCAGGCTGAAATCAGGGTCCCTCCCATCGTTCAGGGCACCTTCTGTCTGAACATCAGAACCTTCTAGAATAAGGTTACCACTTCTGCCAAAGTAAGGGCCAGGCCAAGTCTGGCTTACAGACCCCAGAGACCATGGGGTCGCCGGCCCCAGTCCGTTGGGCATGGGTCCCTGCGGTCTGGTCCACCTCCCTTCGTTAGATCCTGGAGATTTTCTGCGGATCATGCTAACTCAGAAACTGACCTGTTAGCGCAGACAGCCGTCAGGTCGTCCCCCCAGCCAGAGCGACGGTCCTGTTCCTTTCTAATCGTGTTTTGGTGGCATATTCGGCAGTAATTTTGGAGGCCCACCGTTAGACCACCCAGTCTGTGCCGAGTGTCCGGAGCGGTGCGGGGGAGGTGGGGTCGTGCCCATTTTACAGATAAGAAAGATGTCACCGGACAGATTAGGCCCCTTGCCCGTGGCCATGTAGATGCTCATGCAGAACCAGGGTCTAGTTTGCTGTGAGCTCAAGGTCATCAGAGGTCGGAGGGGATCGTGCCACTGTTTGGCGTGGGCTGGACTGGCCGTTCTGCGTGGGCTGGACTGGCCCGGCTGCAGATGGGACTCCGTTTGGATGTGACTTGGGTTCGAGGGGCCGGTGGTGGCCCTGGAAGTAGGATCTGGCTTTTGTGTCCTGGCTCGTTGGCCGCCTGCTTCCCTGTTCAGTTGTTGGTGCTGGGTGTGTCTGGTGGCATAGGCCACCGTGATGGGATGGCAGCATCGGGACCCCAGCACCGCCTCTGCCTAGCCAGACACAGAGGCCGGACGGGTCGGCTTTGCATCCCCAGGTCCCTGGACCTGACCGGGCCTCTGCTCTTGGGCGGCGTCCCCGACCTGCCCGAAGCCTTCCCGGTGCACAATCGACAGTTTGTGGGCTGCATGCGGAACCTGACCGTGGACGGGAGGAACGTGGACATGGCCAGCTTCATTGCCAACAACGGCACAAGGGCAGGTACGGCGTGGACGGCCACGCAGGGGACGGCCACCGCCACAGCTGGGCCATGACTGCTTCTCAAGCCGAGCCTGTGTTCCCCTAGCTGTGGGCCTGCAAGTGGGGAGCCCCAGCTCATGGAGGTGCTGCTCCGGGGGCTGGGCGTTCTGCAGCGTGCGATGTGGGATGCCACGGGGCTGGGCAATGCACTCAGGTGTGTCCCCTGGTGTCCCCGCTGGCTAGCAGGACGGGCCATGTGTCCTGTGTCACTTCTGATGGTCTTCCAGCTGTTGGGGGGTCTCAGGCCAGCCTGCCTCCCCTCAGGGCTGTTGCTCATGGGGCTGTCTTCCCACCACACGGGTTGGTCTCAGCGACCATTCCCCTGCGACCAATGCAGTCCCCTTGTGTTCCCCGCTCTGTGTCTCCAGGCTGCGCTGCTCAGAGGAACTTCTGTGAGGGGACCTGGTGTCAGAATGGGGGCACCTGTGTCAGCCGGTGGGACACCTACCTCTGTGAGTGCCCACTCCGGTTCGGCGGGAAGAACTGCGAACAAGGTGAGGGGCTGGCCTGGGGGCCTGCCCAGCCTCGGGGCCTTGGGGCCCTCACTCTGGGGCGTCTGGGCTCCCACGGTGGCGTGCGTGTCCTCAGGCGTGGGCCGCGGTGGGGCGTAGGAGCACACGCAGGACCCGGCTGGGGGGTGTGTGCAGGGAGCTGGGGCGGCAGCTGGGCGGACGCCCGCCCACCCCAGAGTTCCTGTTATGGAGACCTTGAGCCCAGCCAGAGAAAACAGATGCCAACGCTGGGTTCAAAAGAGCAGGAAACAGACAGCCCGGGGCGCATGAGGCTGTTGTCCCTGGAGGCAGCCCCCAGTTGGCGTGCCCTGTGCTGTCATCGGGCTGTCCCCTCGGGGTGCCCCTATGTGACACCGGGGTCTGGAGACACTGAGGCCCACCTGGCACCTGGTTTTTCGAGTGTCACAGACCACATGAGGCTCTCAGTCCACCCATTGTCACCTCCCTGGTCTCCCCCCAAATGTGCTGGAGCCCTCGGCTGGCCAGCGGCCTCCCCACCTCCATGCCCATCGCCAGGAATAGAGCGAGCGACAATGGCCAGTGTGCCTGGGGGTCGGAGCCCACGCGGACACAGATGAGGGCTGTTTAGGCTGCAGGGTTGAGGTGGGGTGCCGGCACACCTGTGTGGTAGTCACCGCACGCCCATACTGTCCTGCTGGGGGACCCTGCTCCTGCCCCCCTGGGTGTCCCACCCAGTAGGTGGGGGGTGGGACACGTGGGTTGTGCTCACAGCCCCCCAGCGCTCCGTCTGCTGAGCCCAAGGATTCAAGCCACCGGGCTGTGTCTGCCAGCCAGCCCGAGAGCCCCTTGTCATGCCCTGGCCAGGACTGAGAACCTCCCCCACAAGCTTGTCTCCCCCTCCCCAGGAAGGCGGCAGGTGACCTGGGGGTGGGCTCCTGGAAGCCTGCAGCTCCCGGACTCAGGATTGGATGCTGGACATGTGAAGTCCGAGACTGGCCTTTGAATTGAAATGAAAATCCTGCCCCCCGACCCCCGCCTCCCCGGGAGCCCACCCTGCCCCCCCTGCAACTGAAGAAGGTTCCCTGTGGCATGTCTGATGTCCGGGCCCCGCACTTCTGTGTCCACAGTCATGCCGCACCCCCAGCGCTTCAGCGGGGAGAGCCTCGTGTCCTGGAGCGACCTGGACATCACCATCTCCGTGCCCTGGTACCTGGGGCTCATGTTCCGGACCAGGAAGGAGGATGGCGTGCTGATGGAGGCTGTGGCAGGCGCATCCTCCAGGCTCCATCTCCAGGTGAGGGAGAACCGCGTCCCCCCCTCCCCTCCCTGGGCAGCGGTGGGGCTGGCGTGCGCCTGAGGTGGGCAGCCCGAGCTCCCAGGCTGCACGCATGGGCCCCTGGCACCCAGGGGCAGGGAGGGGACCTCACCATTTGCCGCCCCCCCCCCGCCCGCACCGGCCCGGAGGGGTCCCCAGCGAGAGTAAGAAAGGAAACACGAGCCGCTTTCCCAGCAGGCCGCACAATCTCGCCATTCATACGCGAGAAGAGCGCAGGGAATCCGGCGTGCAGCTACGGTTCCCACGGGGGGGTCAATTCCAGCGTTTTCTTTCTGACTTTATCGCCGAGATGGAGTAGGTGCAGGGCTGGCTGGACCCATGGCCCGGCCTCTCTGCTGCAAAACACAGCCAAGGTGTGTTTTAGATCCCGGCTGCGGCCCCCGGGCGTCTGGCACTGGAGGCGGTGGCCAGCACCTGCGGGCAGGGGCGGGGATCCCCGAGGCTCAAGGCTGCGGCCACGGGCTCAAGGGGGCCATGTGGCCTGGCACCCTGACGTTCCTGGGTCCTCCCGAACTGGGAATCCCCTTCTGCGGGTGCTGTCTTAATCTTTCTGGACTTTACTGTTTTGCTGATTTAAAACGTTGGGTAAGCAGTTGCTAAAAACCTTTAAAACATGATGTTAACTTGCCATCCTCCCTGGTATTTGCTCCACAAGCAGCTCCCCCTCGCGTCCTCCCAGCTCCGGGGACATTTCATTTGGGGGAACAAGGGGCGTTCCTGCAGGTTGTGCAAGTCACCCAGCGACTCCGGCGGGTGGGCCGAGCCCCGGGCACTCCCGCCCACGCCGCCAGCCTGGGGTTTGATGGGCTGCAGGGTTCGGGGGACTCTGCCCTGGCGGGGCCCGGGATGCAGACCCGCCGTCTCCCGTCTCCGGGCGCTTTCTGTCTGCAGCGATGAGGGGATGGGAGGTTCTTGAGCAAACCCTCTCCTCTGAACACCCTCGACTGTGTGCCACACCCCGGGGTTCTCCCCCCGCCGGAAAGGCCACCTTGTGACCCTTTTCAGACCCCATCTGCCTCCCCACACGGCGGCGCCCGGTGGGACCCAGGATTAGAAGGAATCCCATAGCCAGGTTGCTTTTTCCTGCCTTTCTTCGGGAGTTCTCTTCAAGTACGTGTACGTGTCTATGCATGTGTGTGTGTGCACATGCGTGTCTGCGCGTGTCTGTGCACGTGTGACGGAGGACCCGGGTGCACGTGGCCACAGGGGTGCCGACCCCCTTCGCACAGGTCCTCCATGGTCTTCAGCCACGCTGAGTGTCCGGCCAGACCGAGCTCCCCTTCTGCCTTGGGGCTGGACTGGCTCTGAGCTCCCCACTGTGCCCCAGGGTCGGTCTGCCCAGCCGTGATGGCTCCCCCGGCGGTGGGGGGGTTCCTCACGGAGCTGTGTGTCCTTCCTCTCCGCTGTCCTGGGCCCGGGGACTGCACGTCCTCGTGCAGAGTGGACTTCTGTCCCCAGGCAGAGCGGGCTGTGCTGCGGTCAGAGAAGGTCAGATGTGAGATGGACCCCACGGAGCGTCCACCCCCGTCTCTTTTCATTCAGGGAAGCCTCGTTCCCTCATCACCCAGCCTCTGTGGTGTTCACATCGCCCCTCTCCATCGCTCCTGTGGGCTTCCTGCCTGGTAACACTTGTGAGTGGCGGGGACAGCGGGCGGGGACAGAGGCACTGCCTGGTGCCCCCTGTGAGCTCTGCGTCAGAGGTCCGCAGGGGCGGGACCCACAGACCCATGAGGACAGGGTCTCGGGGCCGTGACTCACCCTGTGCGGGCAGGGGGCTGGGGGCCACAGCCCCCCAGCAGAAGCCTCTCTCCCCAGACCTGTCCTGCTCCCCTGCCCGCCGGCTCAGCCCCAGTGCGAGCCCATTCAGGTCACACTGAAGGTGCAGGCTGTGTATCCCATAATTACAGCTGTCACTGTGTTCCCCTTATTAACTCGTGATGTCGTAGGTTTACCAGCAGTCCCAGAGGCTAGCTCTGGGCCAGCCCTTGGCAAGCTCAGTTCTGCCTCGGGATGGTATTTTTCCTCTGTGGTTGTTTCACTGTTGGAACAAATTAAATTGGCTGTTTTCGACTCAGGTGGTGAATTAGAACTTGCAGCTTGTCGTTCGGCAGCGGGGGTCTCGGTAGGAAAAAAGTGCGCTGTCGGGAGGACGCAACGGCGAAAGCCGAAACTCCCGTGTCGTTTGAGTGGTTACGTTATGGGTAGCTAATCCAAAATTTAGGGGTTTTTTTTGGCCGGGGACTATGGCCAGCTCCTCCGCGTGGAAGTCTGGGTGGCAAGACGAGTGGCCTTGGGGGGATCCCCCAGACCGTCCAGACCCAGAAGTCCACTCCAGGGCCCAACCGGTCAGCTGGGCAATACGGGCATGTTCTGTGTTATTTCTCTGTGGCGTGTCTGAGGCAGCCTCCTGCAGGCTTGTGAGCTCTGTGGGGCAGCTGCGCAGGTGTCCTGGCGTCTGCGGCAGCCCGACCAGCTACAACCAGCTACAACCAGCTACAACCAGCTACGCAGTCATCCCGCCGCCCACACAATTCGGGTAATTGCTCTCAGGCGCCCTCACTCCGCCGGCATTGTCAGGGGGGATCACCTGCCTATTGTCGAATGCTCCTCTCCAATCCGGCGACAGACCGGAGGGCGCACGCAGTCGCTGCGCGTGGGCCTGGAAGTCATGCTTTCGCCTTTGTCCGTAGACAGATGTCATGTTTATTGTTGATCACCAGCCTTGGGCTTCTGTCGGCAAGGACGGTGAGAGAGCACAACCAGGGGAGTGAGGGAGGTTGACTGCACTCCTGTGGACAAAAGGAGACACGGCATAAGAAGGAGAAGAGTCACCTTCTTGCTGTCACTCCCGACTAAGACTAAAAACCAAAACACATAATTAGTTGCATTGTCTTTATAATCAGTTGAAAATACCTTCTGTTTTCCCATCATGATCTCTTTCTTAATCCGTGGGGTACATAGAAGTGTTTTGGGGCGCCTGGTGGCTCCCTCGGTTGAGCGTCTGACTCTTGATTTCAGCACAGAATGTGATCTCGGAGTCTTGAGATCGAGCCCCGTGTTGAGTTCTGCACTGGGCGTGGAGCCTGCTTGGGATTCTGTCTCTCCCTCTGCCCCTCCCAGCACCCGAGCTTATGCACACTCTCCCTTTCTTTAAAAAAAAAAAAAAAAAAAAAAAGATTTCTTTTTAAAGATTTTATTTATTTATTTGCAAGACAGCATGCACAGGTGCAAGTGGCGGGGAGGGGCAGAGGGAAAGGGAGCAGACTCCGTGCTGAGCACGGAGCCCAAAGTGGGGCTTGATCCCACGACCCTGAGATCAAGACCTGAGCCGAAATCCAGAGTTAGACGCTTCACTAATGGAGCCACCCAGGCACCCTGGGAGTATGTTTCTGAATCAGCAAACAGGTGGCATTTTCTAGTAAATCATTTTGTTGATTCCGGCGTAGCTGCAGGTCGGAGAAGGCATGCTGTGTGACTCCAGAGCCTCGAAGTGCGTGGCACTTGCTTCCCAGCCCAGCATCTCATCTTTCTTGTGAATGTCCCACCTTTACGTTCCGAATATGTGTTCTGCAGTTGGGTTCTGGATACATCAAATGAGTGAGGTTTGCTGATTGGGGTGTTCGGACCTTCTTTGTCATTATTGATATTTTTGGTGGTGGTGTTTCTCTGCCCGGTTACTGAGAGACGTGAATTGAAAAAGTTTGCAGCCCTCGTGGTGGATTTATGTCTTCACCCTTTTAGTTCTGTCAAGTTTCGCTTTGTACGTTTTGAGGCTGTGTTATCAGGTGCGTACAAAGTTAGGATTGTTTTGTCTTCCTGGATAAGCAGCGCCGTCATCAGTATGAAAATCGCTTTTATCTCTGGAATTTCTTTGTTTGCCTTCAGGTCTCCTTTGTGTCATTCCTCAAGCTACACCAGATCTCTTTTGGTTGGTGTTTACATGATGTCTTTTACTTTCAGCACTTCTGAATCTTTACATTTTAGGCGTGTCTCTTTGAAACAGTGCGTTAATAGTTGTTTGTGTTTTTCTAAACTGTTCTTTGCTTGAGATCCTCTTTCAACATGAGTATCTTCCGTGAGTTGCACTGCTATGTCCCCGCCTTCTTACACATCTTCAAACTGGCTAGCTTGAATCTCGTCTCCCGAAATAGAACGTTTATCCACAAAAATAAGAGTCTAATGGTCCCCCAAACTTGTTTCCTTGAAAGTTCTGTGGTTCCCATTATTGTTCTCAAGTCTGTGTCTGATGACTCTATTTTACGGATCCCTGGGCGGGGCGGGGGCGGTGCTCTGTTTCCAGCCACTCTTGGTGTTCACGCGCACTGTCTTGTCTCCTCCCATGCTGGGTTATTTTTGATCGAGTGCCGAACATCATATCGAAGACAGTGAGAACTGGAAACTAGAATGGTGCTGTCCCTGCCCCTCACGTTTGCTTCCAGCCAGCCCCCCTCCCCCACCCTGACCGGGCTCTGAATTCCGGTTTTTATCATCCCAGCACCGGGAGACTGGAAAGCTCTGCTCAGCTTCCAGCCTCTGCTGTGTCTTCCAGAACCAGCCGCCAACGGTCAGCAGAAGCGAACACCCCAAGTCCAGTCCCGCAGATTGCCGTCTTCTACCTGGTCGTGGCTCCGTCACTCTGCCTTGAGTCACTCTGACGCCTTCAGACGGCGATGCTTTAGTGTCTGTCTCACGGTTCTCGGTGTTCTCAGGGGGAGGGCTGGTGCCAACTACCAAGTCCCTTGTTAGGGCAAATAAGATCCTGGCGTCGCTCCTGGCTACGTTTTCTTCGAACATGAACACCCTTAGGCCAGTCACTTCGCCAGCAGCTGTTTTTTTGTTTTGTACAAACACATAAACGTGGTGGCCTGAATCCCGTCTCATAAAGTGGAACTCACGCCTCCAGAAATAAGAGCTGGGAACCGCACCTGGGGTTGTTCCCAGTAATTAAGTCCAGTGGGCTTTATTTTACCCGGTTCTGTCCACATTTGACCCTTCTTGCCCCAGAAAAAGGCACGTAAGTCTGAAGAGTGATACGGGCGATAATTAGAAATGAAACTTGGCCTCATTTTTAGGTCTGTCTTCAGCCCCGTGCCCTGTGCTGGTCTGTGTACGTGACTTTTTTATTTAAGTGACTGCAGAGCATTTTCTGTTCTGTTGTCATCAATTCAGCTGGTGGGTCTGGCTCTCCCTGTCCTCCAGATCCTAAACAAGTATGTCCAGTTCGAGGTGTCCCATGGTCCCTCAGACGTGGCTTCCATGAGGTTGTCCAGGTCCCGTGTGACTGATGGGGAGTGGCACCACCTGTTGATAGAACTGAAGAGCGCAAAGGAGGGCAAAGACATCAAGTACCTGGCAGTCATGACCTTGGACTATGGGTTGGACCAGGTGAGTTGGTGCCTGTACCCTCTTTGGAATAGACACCTTCCCCGGGCCCGTGAGAGAACAGAGTGACCCCTCCATGTGCCAGGACCTGCCAGAGTCCTAGAGGACTTGGGGACACACATTCTGGGCTCCCTGAGTTTGGGTCTCGCGGGCTGCCTTATGCTGTGGTCGCCAGTATCTGTGCCTTTCCAGATGGTCTGCTCCTGGACTCTGTGTGTCCCGTCATGGTGCCGTTAGTGCCTTCCATGGTGGTCCCTTGTAGCAGAGCTGTCCTGAGTCATGACCGCGTGCTCGGTTCTGTGCCTCTGGGGCACGTAGGTGAACAAGGCACGGGTCCTTCCCCCAGCATGGTGCTGTGTGACAGCGGCTGAGCAGATGAGCCCCGGGTACCAGAGGGGGCCAGGGCACACCGGACAAGTGCTCCCGTCCCAGATGGGCATGTGGCACTCCAGGCAGGGCTCACTCCCAGCACGCTTGGTGAGCCACACTCGATGTCCATGGTTTGCAGACAGTAGCAAGAGGCCTTTTTTTCTGGGACACTTCGGGCTCCACATGAGTTCTGTGCCCTTGGAGTCTGGGCGCTTCTCCCACTTGGTTCTGAGAATAAGCAGCCCTCCAGGGCCTGAGGGTCCAGCGGGAACGTACTTACATCCCGGCCACGGTGCACACAATCTATACTTGCTGCCATCTTGCTGCCATCTTGCTGCCGTCTCCCTAGATCACCAGTGCTTTCTCGGAGCGGCTCGGGAGTGGCGCCATTATGGAGGTGGCAGCATTGCCTGTGTCCCCCCCAGCTGGCCATCTTGGCTGTGCCGAGATGGGGACGCATGTCCTGCGACCCGGTTCCCACTCCTGCCCATCCCCCGCACGCAGCCCGGCACACACACAGCCCGGCTCACCCCCTGCCCGCCCCGTTTGGAGGCCCAGATGCCCTAGGGCCGTGGGGAGTTGGCCAGAGTGACTGTGTTTCAGCCTTCGAGCACGTTCCTCCCAGGTGTTTCCAGCCTGTGGCTGTAGCCCCCTCTCTTCGCTCAGGACACGGTGCAGATCGGGAACCAGCTCCCAGGCTTGAGGATGAGAAGCGTCGTCGTGGGCGGCGTGTCAGAGGATAAGGTCACGGTGCACCGCGGTTTCCGGGGCTGTATGCAGGTACGGCAGGGCCGTGGGGTGCGCCCCGTCACAAGATGCCCGCAGAGCCATTGGTCAGCCCGCTGGTTTTCAATAAATGAATGACGGGCCTCAGCCAACCCCACCGTAGCAGACCCTGCTTCCAGCTTAGACCCATCCTCCCCGCGGTTCCCCTCCAGGCCTCCCCCTGCATCCCCGTCCCCACACCACAGTCCACCACCTGCAGCTCTGCCTTCCTGTCCTGTCTAGAATGTGGCCTTCGCTGCCCCCACCCCATCGCCCACATCACCTGACCAGTGCCACCGTCGTCCCCTGGAGCAGGTGTTCTAGCGGCAGCTGGAGTGAGCTGTTGATCGAGTAGCCCCGGTCATGCCCCTGGGCCTCCCGCTGCAGAGAAGGGAACCCTACGTGCATCCCCTCCACGCGCCCACCTTCCCCAGGGGCGGCCTTTGACCTCCCCACTGTCCTCCAATGTGCGGCCCCACGTGGTCCCCATCCTCTGCTGGGATGCCCCTCCCCGCCCCGAGGCACCTTGCCTGCCTTCATCAGTGGCCACGCTCTCCCTCAGTCCTCGTTTACTTTTTCTTCATGCACCAACCATGGTGCTTTGGGTCTTCGTTTCCAGGCAGCTAGTCCACCTACCTGGACCACACGCCCGAAGGCAGCACATGTGATACTGCCCTTCCCCGTGCCGGTCCAGCTCTGCATAATGAGGCATTGCTTCTTGGGGACCCGAGAGAGTTTGGGGCTCTCTTAACCCCTGGTTGCCTTTTGAGGTCCCTGCAACCCCAAGAGGCTGGACTGAACCTGGCTGCCCCTTTCTAACTCAGGGAGTGAGGATGGGGGAGACGTCCACCAACATCGCCACGCTGAACATGAACGACGCCCTCAAGGTCAGGGTGAAGGACGGCTGTGACGTGGAGGACCCGTGCTCCTCCAGCCCCTGCCCTCAGCACAGCCACTGCCGGGACACCTGGGACAGCTACTCCTGCATCTGCGACAAAGGTGGGAGCCCCGCACCTGCACCCCACTGTCCCCAAGCCCATTGGGGGAGGGCAGTGCTTTGGTGTGGAGAGCGCATTGGGGCGCGCGAAGCAGGAGCACCCCTGCCGGGGCTGCGGGTCTGTGAGGCCTGAGCCTCCGTGACTGGGAAGAGGGGTCGCTTCTCAGAGTGGATTCGTACATCAGGTCCTCACTTGGGACGTGGGGCCCTCCTCGCTTTATTCTCAGAATGCATGATGAGAGGAGGGAGAGAATTCATGAGAAATCCCCACTTTCAAAGTTGATACTTTCAGTGGTCGCCTGGATTTTGAGGGGCTGTGATCCCACCGCGTGACCTGGGGTGGCTGGGACTCCCTCCCCTAGGCCTCCCGCTCTCCCTATGGAGGGGGACCCAGGAGGCCCTCGTCGCTGCATTTCCAGGTCCGACCCACTGCCCGTCGGTGTGTCCCGTGACACCGAGCAAGACACCACGTCCCTCCATGGCGGCATGGCAGGGGGAGTGGAGTCTGGGGAAGACGCAGATGGCCCAAGACGTCTTCCCCCAAGGCTCTGGCTCTGGACCAGGGACGAGGAGCGTCATGGGCAGGTTCTGGGGTGGTGGTGACGCTGGCCTGTCCCCACAGGGTACGTCGGAAGGCAATGTGTGGACGTGTGCCATCTGAACCCCTGTGAGCATGTCTCGGCATGCGTGCACAGGCCCGGCTCCCTGCGGGGCTATGCGTGCGAGTGCGGGCCTGGCCACTACGGCCAGTACTGCGAGAACAGGTAGGAGCAGCCCCTCGCAGAGCACGGCCACCACGTCCCTCCCACGTCTCTTCTCCTCTAGGTCACTTCATGCAAAGACACACAGAATTGTGGCTAACGTGGGCATAGTTCTGGTTTTTTTTTCAAATTTGTCATGAAACAAATAATACTCTGAGCAAGCATCTCAAACTAACCCCGTTGGAGTGGGTTTGCACCCAGAAACATGGGGCGAGAGGAGCGCCTGCTTCCGGAGCCCCACCGCGCACGCGGCCGTGGGTGCCGAGCCGCAGGGACCCATCCCATGAGCCGGAAACAGAACATGGCTTTGTGGGGCTGTGAGAGCCTCGAGTAGTGTGGCCGACTGGAGCCTGGGACTCCCAGGGCCCCAGCTGCCGCATGGAGCGTGAGAGGAGTAGGCGGAAGCGGGAGGTGGGGGTGGCCTGGAGGCAGACCGTGTCCCCAGGGGCTGGCACTGCAGGCACAGAGGGCTGAGGGGGCCGTAGGGAGAAGGGGCGCACCAGAGCTCAGGGGTCCCCCTGTCATATGTGCAGACCCACGAACGTACAGAGCCCCCGGCTCAGCTGTGCCGCTGTGGTTATTTTTATGCTCGTGCTGTGTGTACTGTCGTTACTTAATAACTGCTTGCCAGGTGAGCGAGTGAGTAGGAGAGGTGGCCTGCCGGTCAGGTGGGTGGACAGACTGCCGTCAGCTGAGACAGAAAGCCCAGGGTGGCCCTTCGTTTCGAGGAGCCTGAGGGGTTTGGTTGGGGCGTGCGTCCCACGGGTGGGTGAGCAGTAAGGTGGAGAGCGGAGTGGGGGTGACAGCAGCTGGCAGTGGCCACAGCCTGGGAGGGGTGAGTCTGATCTCATGACCTTTGATGTCCCACATCTTGGGGCCTGCTGGGCTCTCAAGAGCAGCCTGGGCCCGTGTCCTGATCCCAAACCCAGACCCAGCCCGTGGCTGCTCAGAGCTGACCGCGGCGCCTGTCACGTCTGTGGAAAGGCAGCTTGGCGTCTGGGGGCACACAGGCAGTGTTTGCCTCAGGGCACCCCAGAAAGCATGGATGCCCCAGGATCCTGTGTTGACAGACACCCCAGGTCCTACCGGAAGGCTGCCCAGGGCAGCCGGGCTCCGTGGGTTCCACTGGGGCTGGGGCTGCTGCTAGAGCTGGCCCGGCTGTGGGGTCACCCGTCACTGAGCTCCCCCGTGAGCCAGGCACCGTCGTCTGGGTGCTGGGACAGGGTGAGCACAGGTCAGTGCCATTCCCCCCTGCAGGGAGCATGGCAAAGTCATGCTCCGGGGGAAGCCCAGGTTGGGATACTCATCTGTGTTTTCTGTAAAAAAAAAAAAAAAGTGAGCAAACAAATCATTTTAGAAATAAGTTTTGTAGTAGAAGCCTGGGACTAGGCTTCTATAGACCTGGGACCCCTGGAGTCTGGGATCCTAACGGGTCAGGGGCGAGTGAGGTTGGGAACCAGCAAGGGGAAACTGAGGCTCCTCCCGGGAGGGAGGGGTCCAGAAGCAGGCCAGGTGAGGCTCCTGGCCTCCGACATCTTCCTCTGGTTCCGAGGACGGTTACGCACACCTTCCCTTTGCTCTCCTATTTCCCCAACAGGATTGACCTTCCGTGCCCCAAAGGCTGGTGGGGGAACCCCGTGTGCGGACCTTGCCACTGTGCCGTCAGCAAAGGCTTTGATCCCGACTGTAACAAGACCAACGGGCAGTGCCAGTGCAAGGTGAGCCCGGCTCGCAGGCAGGTACCGGCTGCGTTCCCACCTCCCTCCAGTGGCCATGCCTAGAGATAGCCATGTGCACGCCCACGTGCACACACACACGCGCACTCAGGTCCTGAGCCCCCAGAGATGGCCGTGTGCATGCCCATGTGCACACACACGAGGTCAGGTCCTGAGCCCAGGGAAGTGGCTGCTTACTGAGGCACTGCGTACCCCTGGGCTGGTCTTCACGTGGACACTGGCGTGGAGCCCTGAGAACTGAGTCGTCAGCCGCACACCCAGTTGGTAACAGGAAACGGTAATTTCCATGAGGTTTGCTCAGCCTCAGCACCGACCACTGTTCTCTGTCTTGGCCTTTTTCCTTGGGCTCTTGTCACGCTGACCCTCGAGGATGGCTGGAATTTCTAAACCACGGAAAGCTTTGCCCACACCCCAGCCGGGGCGTCTGCGTTCTGTGCAGCACAGTCACCTCCTGCAGCGTCAGACCTGCCGCTGTGCTCCCAGGCAGGCCCTGGGTCGCTGTCCCCGCGGCATCCTGGGGAAGACCATAGCCCTTCAGAATCGTGTCTGCACGGCTGTTGAGCTGCTGGTCATTTGGAACCCAGAGGAAGGATCTGTCTCGTTGGATGAGGGCCACGTGCTGCGGGGTGTAGGTTTGCCGGCCCCAGAGGGGAGATTGCCGGCACGGGTCCCCTCCGCACTCCGGGAGCTTTAGCACCGGGAATGTCCCACGTGTGCTCATGCCCTTCTGGAAACACAAACGTCTGCTGAAACATTTAATGAAAAACCGCACTGGTGGGAGCAGATGGGGACCGGGCAAGCCACACGGAGCCGCACGGCAGTCGCCCATCCGTGGGTGGCATGGCAGGCGGGAGGGAGGCTCAGAGCGCATTTCGAGAAAATGTGCCTCGAATTTCTTCTCATCAGAAATTATAGAAAATGCAGAAAGGTGTCGAAAAGTGACGCCCATGTTCCCGCCCGGGGTGACTGGTAACGTGTTTGTGCCTCCTCCCAGGTGCTCAAACACACATGGTTGGACCTCCCTGTGGGGACGGTTCCATGTCCCTGCCTGACCTGGGACCTGGAGACAGGCCGTGGCTCTGCTGAGTCACAGCCCATCCCACCCTTCAGCAGGGGATGCTGGAGTCCCCTGCAAGGGTGGTATGGCCAGAGATAGGCACAAACCCGGGACTTTGCAATCTGAAGCCCATGCCCTTGACCATTCCCTGACCTGCCCAGTGGTGGACCTTCAGGTGCCTTCTAACTTTTCACAATGAAAAAAACACACCGTGTAAACCTCCATCTGAATCCAGGATCTTTGAGGACAGATAGGCAGGTTGCCCGTGACAAGTATTAGCTAAGAAGTTAGGGGGGCACTTTCCCAGACAGTGCTCCTGCCCCGTCAGGCACAGTGGGCAGCCCAGAAGCTACTCGTGGGGGGGATGTGGGTGGAGGGTGGCGGGGAGAGGCCCAGGAGCTCGACCGTAACTTTGGCGCACCCAGGAGGCATCCCGCAGGAGAGGAGCCTAGAGTCCCATGCACCTCTTCTGGCTTTTGCAGGAGAATCACTACAGGCCCCCGGGTCAAGATGCCTGCCTGCCGTGTGACTGCTTCCCGCACGGCTCGCACAGCCGGGCCTGTGACATGGACACGGGGCAGTGTGTCTGCAAGTCCGGCGTCATCGGCCGCCAGTGCAATCACTGTGACAACCCTTTCGCCGAGGTCACCACGCTCGGCTGTGAAGGTCTGAGTTGCCCCTTGACCCCTTCGGGCCGTGTCACAGGGACAGACTACTGGGCTCCTGCACGCGTGCCCGTGTCTGTGTGTGCACCACACACTCCTGGGGTCTGGGGAGCGTTCAACAGCCTCATGGTCTGACAGTGTGCACTTGGCCTTCCGTGACCTGGCCCTCCTGGAGGGCACAGGTCAGAGCCTGGGTCCCCCCTTCCCCTGTCCTAACCCCGATGAGGGTCCGGTTCTTGGTGGGGGCAGAGGACTCCGAGAGCCACGTACACTTGTGGGCATGGCCGTGGCCGGCTGAGCAGCCTTTTTTTCCCCCCGTGACCCCAGTGATCTACAACGGATGTCCCAGAGCATTTGAGGCTGGCATCTGGTGGCCACAGACCAAGTTTGGGCAGCCGGCGGCGGTGCCGTGCCCCAGGGGCTCCGTGGGTAAGTACCATGGCTGGTGGCATCCGTTCCAGGCGGGAGCTTGGCCGAGGCATGTGGCTCGCGGAGACTTGGCCCAAGCGTCTGGACGCGTGGGATGTTCTTTAGCCAAAGTGTTGGGGGAAGATAAAACCTTGTTCTTTAATAATAAATGACAAAACCTGGAAAAGCCGTAACGCAAACATGACACATGCGTACGGGCCAGGATGCAGGCCGCTTTGCCCCTCCCAGCACCAGGTTCTCTATAAAATGGGGGTGGTAGCTGCGTCCACACCCTGAGGGGTGTCTGGAGACCCAAGGGCACGACCCACCAAAGCGCACGGCTGCGAGTCGGGTTCGTGGCAGGCGCGCAGGGCCCACAGACGCTGTGGGTATTTGGCACACGATGGACTGGGTTCTCTTTTTGTGGACTTGCTCACGTGTTTGCTCACGGCGGCTGGGCGGCTCGGGCAGCTTCACCGTGGCCCTGGGCACGTGCGGAGAGAACTTGTGTTGGTTTTGTGGCCGTGGCACCTACCTGTCCCTGGGCTGGCCGAGGGGTGCGCTTCACACCCCCGCCGGGCACACTGGGTTCAGGTACACACAGGTCAACGAGCATGATCACTAATTGGGGTTTCAGGTCTTCCTCCCTGTTCCCTGTTCCCTAGGCAACGCCGTGCGACACTGCAGCGGGGAGAAGGGCTGGCTGCCCGCGGAGCTCTTCAACTGTACCACCATCTCCTTCCTGGAGCTCAAAGCCACGGTAGGCGCCGCCTTGGGGAGCTGCGTGCGTGTGGGGTCGGGGAGCGCGGACGGCGCAAGGCCCTGCATCCCACTGGCTGGGGGCTGGGCCCGGCTCAGGACCGTCGCGCCCACGTCTGTCCTGAGTGCCCACGGCGGAGCACGGCTGCTCTTCCTGTCAGGACCAGCCCTGCGTCTGGGTCTGCAAATGAGGGGTCTCCATATTCTGGCCCGCTGCCCCCAACCTCGCCCTTCGTCACTGCCACTCCCCCGGTGTCTCTTTCCAGCACTTTTTGGCCTGACCGTCCCTCCTCTTTGGTGCCAGAGTAGTACTCACCAACGTCCCTGCTTGGTTTGGGTTTTCAAGTTCTTGCCTGAAAAGGAAGTTTCTACGAGAAAGGATCAGGTGTTCTGAATCACAGGAAGGAGCAAAGCAGCCGCGGTGGGCGTGCAAATATCTCGTGTGCTCCCCCTTCCCAGAACGAGAGGCTGAGCCGCAACGAGACGCAGATGGACGGCGACCGGTCCGTGCGGCTGGCCAAGGCACTGCGGAACGCCACGCGCCCCCCGGGCCCGCTCTTTGGCAACGACGTGCGCACGGCCTACCAGCTGCTGGCCCGCGTCCTGCTGCATGAAAGTGGCCGCCAGGGCTTCGAGCTGGCGGCCACGCGGGACGCCGACTTCCACCAGGTGACGGCGTGCGGCGGGTCGCCCCCGGGGGGCCCCGTGGTCCTGTGGGGCTTGAGGGCGGTGGGGGGTCCGTGCTCAGCTGCGCGACACCCCTGCTCCCACGTCCTCAGGGCAAAACTTCGCTCTGCACCCGGGCCAGGCCAGCGTGGTGACCGGGGACACTGGGTGCGAGTGCTCAGGGTGTTTGGGCGCGGACACGTGTGGGGCACAGTGTTGGTGGTGGGGACAGTCACCGTTACTGAAAACGGCCCCTGAGCGCCGGCCGGTGGTCTGCGCGGCTCGTGTGTTAGCCGCTCGCTGCCCACGCGGCCTGCGGTGGTGCGCGGTTGCCACCCATTTTACAGGTAAGGAGACCGAGGCAGAGAGCCAGGGGCATGTAGCTCGTCGGGGGCTCCGGAGTCTCCGCTCCCACCTCGGGGTCCTGCTTTCAGAGATACGAGGTCTCACATAGAGACCGTCCTGTTCTGTGTTTAAGTAACGGGTCCCTAAGAAATGTCTGTTTATGGTGGTTGGTGAGGAGACCCTCGTTCATCCTCACGTGTCTGATCTGCTGGGCAGTGAGCGTCAGAAGCCATGATGCCTCTGGACCCCTCCCCAGGCCTCCCCATCCATGCAGAGACCCCCCCGGGGAACCTCCCCATCCACGTGCCTTCTCCCCTCTGCATCTCGGAGTGTACGTGGGGGAGCCCCCAGCAGAGTGTCTCCCTGACGCACGGCTCCTGCCCCCCAGGGTCTGTCCCCTATCTGATCCTGCCCAGCCTGGTCTCAGGGAGCTGGAGACTTTCCCGAGCCTGGTGTGCCCCTGCCTCCCGCCATGTCAGTTCAGCCTCCTGGGGCCGGGCTCACTCACCCGCTGAACGCTGTCCATCTGTCTGACAGGACGTGGTCCACACAGGCAGCACGCTTCTGGCCCCGGACACGCAGGCCGCGTGGGAGCAAATCCAGCGGAGCGAGGGGGGCACCGTGCGGCTGCTGGGCGGCTTCGAGGCCTACGTCACCAACCTGGCGCGCAACGTTCGGAGGACCTACCTGAGGCCTTTTGTCATCGTCACCGCCAACATGAGTAAGGCTGCGAGTCTGCGGGGCTGGGGGGAAAGTGCGCGTGCTCCGGGGTCGGAACCCGGGGGCCTGTCTGGGGGGGCCCTGCTGGGCTGTCTTTAGGGGACGGCCAGCAGCTCTGGCCTCTGGTGACTTGTCTACAGTAGGGAATCAGGACCCTCCTTGTCCAGCCTCTCAGAGCTGAACCAGAGAAACACACACGTGACTCCCGGGCTCCAAGCAGGAATCGGGGCGGGTTAGAGGCTGTGTGGTCGGCTCCCCTGGGAGGTCTGCAGGCCTCTTGGGACATGGGTGTGAGGCGTCCAGAGGGGCATGGCCGGGGTCAGGCTGCGGGTCCCTCCCTCCAGGCTCACCAGGGGAGGCACAGACCCAGGGAAGGACAAGGGACAGGCCGGCCGGGTACCTGGGCGGCGGGGGGATGTCTGCCCTTCCTGAGTCAGGGGCTGAAGGTCAGCAAGCGGGTACCTTGTGAACCGAGTCACCCCCAGCGCCCGGGAGGCGCCACCCTGAGGTCCAAGGGTTTCTACGGTCAGATTCCTTCCCAGGGAGAAAGCCCCGGACGGTAAAACCAGCCCCGACCTGACCCACCCAGACGGAGCTGGCCAAGTCCCCGAGTGGGGGGTTGGGGCTCCTGCAGGGGACGGCCTTGCATGGGGCCGGGGGGGGGGGGGGGGTGATTGCCTTGTGCACGCCCGTCACTGGAGGGGCTGAGCCTTAATCTGGAAGTGGTGGCCCTCACTGGAGCCCTGCGACCGGCTGGGGCGGGGCCTCCCGTGCTGGCCAGGAGACGTTCTGGCTTCTGCATCTCCTGGGCCCTTCCGGGGGCCCCCGACGGGCCTGCCTTGTGCTGGGGTGGTGGTGGGCTCAGGGCCCCCGTCATCACTGGGGGCGGGAAAGAAGGATGCGTGTGCTTCTGCAGAGCTGGCCTCGGGGCCGGACAGGACCCGGACACGGTGCGGCCTGCAGCCCGGGGCCTCCTGGAGCACTCAGGCGGTTCCAAGTGTCCTGCCTACTTCTGCCTGCAGCCCTTCTGGCGTTGTCCCTGATGCTCTGTGGCCGGGAGCATCTGTCCTGCACTGGGTCCTGTCTGTCCTCCTGTGTCCTATGTTCCCTGCCACCCCTGACCACCCAGCAGCTTGGGCGGGTGCCTGGCCTGTCCGTGTGGGCAGCCCGTGGGCTCCCTTCCTGTGGGGGCTGTTGGACCAGTCAGCTCAGTGGGATGACGTTGGGGGTCATCTGGGGCGTGCAGGGGTGATGGCCTCTCCGTCGGCAGGCTCCTCAGAGCGGTGGCGGTCGGTGCCAACAGAGGGGTGACCCCACAGCCTCCGAGAGCCAACAGGACTCAGGAGCCCCTTGGGTCGATCCGAGTGTCCACTCGGGCTCTGCCGGCCGGGAAGCAGGTTCCTGTTCTCCGGCCGTCTCGATCTTACCCCAGCCGGCTGGTCCCCAATGCCGCCGTGACGTCTCACTTCACCCTCAGGGCTGGCGCTGTGTGACTCAGCGGGTCCGGGGGGCGCAGCAGAGTGGAGGCGACTCTGTTAGGAAGGCTGCCGCTGGTCAGGGCGGCGGCTCTGGTTGGTCTGGACGCGGAGCCGGTGGAGGGCGCTCTTGGGAGGACCTAGGGGCTGGATGACAAGGGGGACCTGTCCCCACAGTTCTGGCCGTCGACATCTTCGACACGTTCAACTTCACGGGAGCCAGGGTGCCGCGATTCCAGGACATCCGTGATGAGTTCCCAAAGGAGTTGGGGTCCTCGGTGTTCTTCTCCGCCGACTTCTTCAAGCCGCTGGAGAGCAAAGGTGAAGCCTCGTGGACGCCACGGTGCCCCGCCGTTTGGGGGAGGGGTGGGGGCCTCCGAGGGTCCTGTGAGAAGGAATAGAACGGTTCTTAGTAGCGGAGCGTGTTGTGTGCGTGCGTGTCACACGCGTGCCCTGAGAACAGGGTCGCCGCGGGGCGTGAGCTGGCGTTGGACCCCCGTGCCGCGGCCGGGTGTCTCCGGCAGGTACTCGGCTGTCTCGTGACGTGACAGATGAGATAACACCTGACACACGTGCGCACTAGTCTTCCCTGATGGGTTGGGGAGGATGCCTCTACTTGTGGGTAATTGTAGAACCTGCCCCCCTACCCCACCCCCCACCCCCTGCCACCGCCAGCCAGTTTTCAGTCCTGGGTTGGGGTTACATTACCAAATGGCTTAAACATTTGGAATTTTCTTTTTCTTTTTCTTTTTTTAAAGATTTCATTCATTTATTTGAGACAGAGCACGAGCAGGGGGGCAAGGGTAGAGGGAGAAGCAGGCTTCCCGCCGAGCAGGGAGCCTGATGGGGGGCTCAGGCCCAGGACCCCGGGATCATCCCCTGAGCTGAAGACAGACATTTGCCTGAGCACCCCCAGGCGCCCCTGGGATTTTCTGAGAGTATATTTTTCACAGATCCTCTCCAGCTACTGAAAATGTCTTAAAATAATGGGGACGTGACAAGGTAAAATTCTGTAGTGGACAATTTACAGTTTGAGGTGTTTTTAGTAAATCAGTCCGTCAGCTGCGTGGCATTATTTGGGTGTCGGAACCTCTGGAAGAGGATTTTACTCTGATGCGGGATCCACCCCGACGCCGTCTTTCATACCGTCTTTTGGCGGTCTGGGTTTTCCCGCATTCGGCCGAGTTCCCAGCGGTCGTCAGCACTATCGGACGTGCGGACCCTGCAGATATCGCCGCTCATCCTGACCCAAAAACGTTGTCCGTGCTTGTGCTCCTCAACGGACCCCGGGTCCTCCTCTGTCTCTGAGGCTGAGGCATCCGGAGTGGACAGGCAGGAGCCTCGTTTGCTTTAGACGGTCCCACGAGAGAAGCTTCTGGTGCTTGCTGCCCTGCTGGGGGACGGCGGCCTGCTGACATCGGTCCCCTCAGCTCCGTACGTGGTGCCACATTCAACTTGTCTGTTAGCCGGAACCATCACCACGGAGTAAACCCCGCCAGATGTTTTACTGATGGGAAGCCTCGGCCGCCGGGCTTGGGTGGCCTCTCCCCCTCCCACTGCTCAAACACCTGACAGGTCCCCTGGAAGGCAAGCAGAGGAGAAAGCATCCTGTGCTCCTAGAGCCAGAACTCAGGGCCAGATCTGGGTGGATGAGCTTGCAGGAGCTAGAGGGGGTGCAGTCTAGCCCCCCCAGCCCCTGGCATCCCACCGCCTCCTGGTGTCCCTCCTGGAGGGGCTGCCTCTCTTCTCTGAGTGCTGGATGTTGACATAGAGCCCTAGGGCTTGGCCCCAAGGGCTGACCTCTGCCTGCGTCTGTCCCCCGCCTCAGGCTTAGGCAGGCCAGTGCAGACACCGACCTTCCCACCTTGGCTCAAATCCTTCTTCGCCCTGACGGGCCCCTGGACAGGCTTCCATCCCAGCCCCGGACTTCGGGCCCTTCTCCCCTTGCCCTGACCCAGCCTTGGCCCAGATAGTGTGTGTGTGTGCGCGCGCGCGCGCGCGGGAGCACGCATAAGGCTTTTCTCCTGAGGCGAGGGAGGGGCCCCTGCCTGCCCTCCCCGCAGGGCCCCCGGGACTCACTTGCCTGCTGACTGGTTCGCTGGGGATGCAGGGAGCCACTCGAGTCGGGGAGGAAAGTAAGGTTTTGGCCGCAGCCATGCACTGGCACCGGGAGCAAACACCGGGAAGGGCCAGGCCTGGGGTTTCTGAGCGCCCCAGGATGCTGTCCAGTGCGCCCACCGCTGCCTCTGGTACTGTCGAGGCTGCCCAGAGTTGCCGGCCCTGCTGGAGGAGCGGCCCTGGCGAGTGGCCGCGGGGACTCAGCCCGCCTTCCACTTCCGGGAGCAAGCAGCTGAGAGGCAGCAGGACCCCGGGGGGCTGAGTCAGCGCCTTTCTTTGGCCTCTACTCTGTGGGGTTGTCCAGGAGCAAAGGACCCGTAAATGTCACGTCTGACCCATTGGGTGGCGTCTGGCCCATGGGCAGAGGCCTGGGGAGTGTCATCTGGCCTGGGGCAGTACCTGACCCTCTCACTCAGGAACGCCCCCGCCTGTATCACCCCCCGCCCCCGAGGAGGAGCTGAGTGTCGCTGAGCAGTGTTGTCACCAGTCATTGCCCCTGAGCAGGGTCAGGAAGATGCTGAAGGTGCGTGTGCCACCTCAGAGGGGCGGGCGCCGTTGGTCACACGGCATGTCGCTGGCACCGGTGAGCCGTTCTGAGCTGCAGTGGCCCCCCGCGTGGGGACCGAGAGGTCCCCCGCCCCACTGCACCTCATAGCCCCTCCACAGGCTCCCCTGAGTCTTGCCCTTTCTAGAAGCCCTGTCCCTGAGGGCTCAGCCCTCCCGCCTCCCTGGAGCTCAGCTTCCCGTGCTCAGTGCCCGGCGGTCTGGGTGGCTGCAGAGCTGGCTTCTGGGCCACCCGGGGCATTTTGTCGGTTGTTGAGAACCTGAGTGTGGCCAGGCTAACAGAGCGTCGGAGGGGACTGTCACTTGGCAGCTGGGAAGGGGAGGGCCAGTACTCCCTCCCGTGAGCCCATGTGGACACAGGGACTGGGGAAGTTTTCAACCTTCCTGCACCCATGCTTCCATGCCCCGGTCAGTGGCACGATATCGTAAGCGCCTACACCCCAAAATACATGTGCGGACGTATTTATGCAGGCCATATGTGGCTTCTTGTGTCCCTAGAGCACGTACAACTTCACACACACCCGTCATTCACGTGGGATCAAAGCAGGGGGCACAAACCCACGCAGACGGTTCCCCGTCCCTGTCCGTCCCTCCCAGAGCAGCCCCGGTGTCGCCCCCTGTGTAGGGTGAGGGACTTGGCCAGTCAGCCCGTGACAGTGGTCATCTTTTCCTGGGTCGAGCTGAAATGCCGGGAACCAGTGCCGTCCTGGCCACTCTGGGGGCGGAGTTTAGTCATGTTCCATCCATGTTCCATCCACAGTGTTGGGCAGGCACTGCCACCTTTGTCCCCAGGAATGACAGTCTGTCCCCGTCCCCTCCCCCAGCCCCTGGAAGCCTCTGTGCTGCAGTCTCGTGGGGCTCTGTGTTTACTCGGCCGGGGCCCAGCGAGCATCTGTGGCCTCAGGAGGCCCCTGTCCCAGCAGGAAGCGGCCTGGTGGGCGCAGCGGCCCCGCGCTCACGCTCCACTTGCATTGCAGGGACCCCCATGGTGCAGCCGGCCGGTCGGAAAGCCACCCCGCAGGCGGCGCCCCCGGGGCCTGGCGCGGAGGGGGAGGCCCCATTCAGGAGGCGGAAGAGGCATCCAGACGAGCCCGGCCGGTTCGCCGTCGCCCTTGTCATCATCTACCGGACCCTAGGCCAGCTCCTGCCCGAGCGCTATGACCCTGACCGCCGCAGCCTCCGGTAAGGCCTATTTCCGGAGGATTCCAAAGGGCTTCCCCAGGCATCCGTGTGAGGACATTCTGCTGTGAGCCTGGGCCGTGGCCACAGACCACAGCCCTGAGAGCCCCCCGGGATGAGGTTCTGGGCATCCAGGTGGCCCTTCCCTGGTGCTGCCGCCTGGCCGGAGGTGACCAGTCCCCCACACGTGCCCCATCGCTCACAGAGCCGCCGCCACAGCCCGGGGCCCTTCTTGGGGACAGCGGCTGGGGCTCCGGGTCTGGGCCTCCTGGAGAGATGTCTACAGTGCGTGCTTCTGGGGTCGTCGACGCACAGATTTGAGACAGGCATCTTCTAACTGTGCCTTTCCCCGTGTTCTCCGTCCCAGGCGTCTTCTAACTGTGCCTTTCCCCGTGTTCTCCGTCGCAGGCTGCCCAACCGGCCAGTCATTAACACGCCGGTGGTGAGCGCCGTGGTGTACAGCGAGGGGGCTGCCCTGCCCAGCCCCCTGGAGAGGCCTGTCCTGGTGGAGCATGTCCTGCTAGAGACCGAGGAGCGCACCAAGCCCGTCTGCGTGTTCTGGAATCACTCCATCACGTAAGGGTGTCGCCAGCGTGAGGACCCTTCATACCCCCACCCCCCCGGAGCTCTGCCCCTGTGTGTGGGGTCGGCCAAGGCTGCTGGAAGCTGGGATGGACTTTCGTGCAGCTGGGCGCCTGTTTCTGTGCAGCACAGACAGACGTGCCCTCACATCGTGCTGCAGACGGATTGAGTCGGTGTCGCCAAGCAGGGTTCCAGCCGGGAGCTGGTGGCCAGCGGGAGCGTGCGGACGCCCAGCTGCAGGGGGCTCGTGCTGGGAAGCAGGCTTGGCTGGGCAGGGATCTTGCGGCTCCTTTATTTTCCAAATTCTAGTTAATGAGCGAGCAGCATTGTGCCGGCCTGTGAGAGACGCTTGGCTTACAAAGGCGAGAAAGAAGGGCCACTTTCATGGCGAGAGACGTGCGAGGGACGTGCGAGGGGCTGTTTGGCAGGCACGAGGCGCGGCTGTCTCTCACGGCGCAGGACTGGATCTTAGCAATTAGTTATTGCCTAATTACCCTCTGTGCCTCCGCGGTGCTTCTCATCCCCAGATCTTGGGGCTCTTGGCAGACACGTATTAGCCTTCACTGGCCATTTTACAGATGAGTAAACGAAGGACCAGAGAAGTTACTTGATTTTCCCAGAGGGAGGGAGGGCGGGACTCTCTCTGCGCCCGAGACACACCCATAAGCAGCTTGTCATTTGGGGCTTCGCATCAGTAACAGGGAAGTCATAATTGGGGCCTGCTCGCAGGCAGCTGCCGTAAAACATTGTGCAGTCTGAAGATGAAAGTGCAAAACGGACGTGGGGTATTATTTCCTGAAGCGCCTAGACTCAAAGAAGGCTGAAATACATAGCAGCCCTTTTAACAACTGACTAATGTTTCCAACAAGAGGGCGTGCCGCTCGCCCGAGACATCCCCGTCGAAGTTTTATTGTGAGATGACACAGAAACCGTGAACTTCAGAGGGTTGCTTCAGGGCACTCCCCAGCCACAAAAGGGAAGGGAGAGTGTCCACGCGGTCCCGAGGGCTGTTGTCTTCACAGCACGCGACGGGGCGGGGGGGAGACGGGCCGGCCTTGGGGGTGCTGGATGGGCTTCCCCAGGGGCGGCGGGGCCTCAGAGACCCCCCTGGTGGAAGGAGTCCCTCTCACGCCTGCCTTTTCTCTGCAGGATCGGGGGAACGGGAGGGTGGTCGGCCAAGGGCTGCGAGCTGCTGTCCCGGAACCGGACCCACGTCGCCTGCCAGTGCCGCCACACGGCCAGCTTCGCCGTGCTCATGGACGTCTCCAGACGTGAGGTGGGCGTGGCCCCCTGGGCAGTCCTGCCCTCCTGGCAAGTGTGTCCAGGGATGAGTCCCTTTGGAGAGTCAGCGCGGCCCCAAATTGAGTCCACAATTTAAGCCCGTGTTCAGGAGGGTTGGCCGGAATCTGCCAGGATTCCCAAAACAAAACTCCTTAGAAACTCTTTTCAAAGGGGCTGGGTTGTAAATTAAAAACCCGGTGGCAGACCCCCAAGCCTCAGCTCAAAAAGAAAGCCCTGGAAGAGCCTCACTTCGAAGCCGGACTCTCGGTGTCCTCTTGGATGGCGCTGTGCCGGCCCCACTTTAAATTTTAAGGGAGAACAGAGCCGGCTGTCTGGAACAAAGGGAGGGTCTCCCGTGAGCACCGCACACACTGGCCCGGAGACACAGAAGAAGGGGCTTGGTCAGGAGCCCCCGAGGCCAGCTGATATTTAACCTCTGGCGTTTTCCTGGGCCTGGGAATGCAAGGCTCTGGGAGCCTGCGGGTAAATAGAGGGAACAGGGCCACGGCCCCCAGTGGGCGGGTGGCAAGGTCTTCCTGGGCTCCGACGTGTGCAGATGCTGGTTCCTAGGAACCAGAACAGAGGCCTGGGGGCCTCACCCTGGCACCTTTTCTTCAGGCCTGGGATGTATCCCGGGAGGCCAGGTCATTGTCCCTCCCAAAAGCTCTGTGGCTCGCAGGTTCCTGTCACATTGTTGGGTGGGTGACTGCTGCTGCTGATGGCGGCCAGGGAGACAATAGGGAAGGGTGTGGCCTTCGGTCTTCCCCTGACCGCCAGGCTCCCGTGGGCAGGTGGCACTTTTGAGCTGGGAGCCCCAGGTCCTGGCCTGGAGGAGGTTAGTTATCAGTAGTCTTCATCCATGTAGGGGCGGGATTGGGGGTCGACCCCTAGCCGGGGTGCTTGCGATGCCGGGAGTGCGGCAGGAGGAAGCTGAAATTCAGGGAGAAGAAGTGGAACTAGAAGAGGGCTCACTGCTCCCTGCCCCGGGGCCTCAAAGCCAGTGCTGGTCCAACAGCAGGAGGCAGCCCCTGGGCCTCCGGAGGGCAGGAGGAGAGCCCTGAGCCCTGAGCCCTCAGACTATGGGGCCCAACCCCCTCCCGGCTCCCCAGCAGCCCAGCTCCCATGCAGCCGTGGCACACCCGCCTTCTTTGTGCAAGCCCCTCCCGGCTCCGAATTTGGGGCGGGCAGGCTGTGCATCTCCAGGATGGTAACATTTATGTATGGAGGGTTGTTTTGTTTTAAACGTCTTTTAAAACATTTTTTTATTGGGCAAAATACACAGAATAGACATTAACCACCTCAGCCACGTGTAAGTGGACACAGTCCCGCTCCAGAACTTTCCAACGCCTCATTAATCCATTTGGTGTTTTCCGTGGTTTCCAGCAGCCTGAGAACCGTGTCAGTCGTGCTGGCTCTGCCCATAGTAAAGTCGACCTTAAAGTGCCTTTCCTGTGCAAAGCCCCATCAGGCCAGTCCTCATGTCCCCCCGCCCACCCCCCGCCCGCAGCACGGAGATGTCCTGCCCCTGAAGATCGTCACCTACGCTGCTGTGTCCTTGTCGCTGGCCGCCCTGCTGGTGGCCTTCGTCCTCCTCGCGCTGGCACGGACGCTACGCTCCAACCTGCACGGCATCCACAGGAACCTCATCGGGGCGCTCTTCTGCTCCCAGCTGGTGTTTGTGATCGGGATCGCCCAGACCGGAAACCCGGTGAGTTCCCGGGCCGCTGCCCCACCTCGCTGTAACTGACAAAGGAGCGGGTGGAAGTGGCCGCCACGGAGACCGGAAGTGGGTCGGCCTCGAGGGAGGTGAGGACGGGCGGCGAGCGGCGGCTGGAGAGTTTCCGTGGGAGGCCTGAGATCGGAGCCCCTGTGCAGGCTAGAGGAGAAGGGAAGGGGGAGCTCATGGCCCGGGGCAGGGTCCCTGGGGCGTGGGGTAGGGAGCAGCCTCGGAGCGGGTGGGACAGGTGCGGGAGCAGCGCCCGCGGAAGCCGGGAGCTCTGTGGCTTCAGCGGTGCCTGCCTGGTGGCAACGTGATTTTCCATTTTTACAGCAGGGATTTACAAAACACAGGGTCAGCACGCTGACCCCGGAGCGGGTGGGGGCACGGCTGGAGGCGGAGGCTGTGTGCCCGGCTTGACACACACGCTTGCGCTCGCTGAATCCCCCCGGGCCCTGGGAAGGGGGAGCATCCCTTCCCACGGAGAGGCGCCCGGGGACCGGTGAGGATGAGCGAGTGCCCGTGGCACACAGTTCCCTCGGTGCAGGTTCCCTACGTGTCCATCGCGAAATGGGGACCCTAGAGTCCTGAGGTGCCGCGAGGCCGGCTGATTGGCACATGTGTGTGTGCAGGGACTCGGGAAGTCGAGGTTACTCTCATCTAATCCCAAGCTCTCCGAAGGTGAGCGGTGGGCTCCCGGTGGCCATTCCAATATGGCCAGCACGTGCTGTTGACAGATCTGTTACTTCTTCCTTCCCCGTGCGGCGAGGACCTGCTGGTTGTCACTGTGTTCCACCGACCCAAGACCCAGGTCCAAGAGGCCCTCCCGTCCCCGCCCAGGGAGCCCCCTTTCCTGGCACGGACACGAGTGGTCATCGTAGAGTGTCATGTGCCAGAATGGTGCCCTGGTGGCAGGTGGGGGAGCCATGCCTGGTTAGGGAAGGACTGACCATCCAGTGGGAAGGGTCCAGTAGAAATCGGGACAGGTTGGGGAATCTGGTCCCCCAGAGCCTGAGGGGCCATGCCGGGCAGTGCCGTGTTCCTTTTGCAGGCAGCTTGTGCTGCGGAGAGCACAGCCAGCCAGTTAGGAAGCTGCCCAGAGGTCAGAAGAGCGGCAGAGGGGCTATCCTCATGGGCCCGCTGGGTGGAGGCGAGGCCCAGAGCCGAAGCCAGAGCAGCGGGCGGGAGGGGAAGGGCAGGAGTCAGGGCTAAGTGGGCAAGGAGGGAGGAGGAAGGCGCCTCAGTTCTCCGGAAGGGGGACGAGCAGGGGAGGACACCCCAAAGTGAGGTGAAAACTGAGACAGAGTGGCTGGTCTGGGTGTGGCTGGCCAAGCCCTTGGAGGCCGAGGGGAGGCATCTCCCCCACGTGGAGAGGAAACGTGTCTGTGGGAGTGGGTCAGCCCTAGGAGAGGAAGCGGCATAAAAGGCAAAGAGAGAATGTTCTGGCTAGCTGGTCAGGGCTGCTGGCACACTTGAGCTCTTCCTCGTCATTTGCTGCTGGCAGCGGGCTCCCCTTGAGACCCTCTGGGGTGGCCAGACCTCCTTTGGAGGAAGGGGGTAGGCAAAGGCAAAGCGTCACGGGAAGACGGCCTCGGTGGCCCCGGGGGCTTCTTCGCCGTGACTCGGGGAGCACCAGGCCTGGCAGAGGACACCCGCAAGCGCAAACTTCCTTGCTGCCCTCCGGGGCGCTCCCCGTGGTGCTGGGCCGGGGTGGGGGAGAGGTGCCACCCCCATGTGGGGCCCTGCAGGGTTTGCGTGCATCCAGCCAGGCAGGGGGACCTCTCCCTGCCTGTCCTTATCAGCGCATCAGACAGGTGAAGGCTCATCTCCAAACCCTTCAAGCGTGCCCTTGAGTGGTCTCCGCAGAGGCAAGTCACGCCTTGCAGCCACATACCGCGTGTGAAAGCCGCGCGGCTGTCCGTTTCTTCCAGCCGGAGCGCAAGAGGAGGAATGCTGGCCGCGTATCATTCGGGGGCCTTGGCACCTCGCCTGGGTTTTATGGGTTTTCTGTAAACTCACAATCCCATCTCTGGGCGAGGTTTTTCATCTCCCAGATTACTGGCAGGTTGAAATGATTTATTAGGCATTAGCATTTTGTCTTTGTTCTGTTTCTGGAAAAGGTAGTACATTTAGGGCAAAAGTCTGTACACGTACAGCCCCATTAAATTTTAAAATGTATCTCTAACACTTCTTTTTTTTAAAGGTGGTTTTGTGGGTTTACTTTTCACATGACTGAAGGCAGCCAGCCGGCCAGCCTCCTCCCCGTTGTCCTTTGTCTAAACCCACTGTGCTTTGCATGTGGGGGACCCTGGGAGTGTGTGGTGTGGGGCTCCCCCAGCCCCAGGCTCGCCCTTGGCGCCCGGGCTGATGGCTCTGCTCATGGCCCAGGGCAGACCTCCTGTCCCCCGACCGTGGGGTGCGCGGCGGAGAGCAGGTTGTCCAGTCGTAGTGTCTGGGGCTGTCTTCTCTTCTGGTTCAGTCCTGTTTTGCCGCGTGCCGGACAGATGTTCGTGCTAAGGGAGTTTCCTCCCCGCCTCTGGGGTTCTGTTTCTGGGGAGAGGCTGCCCGTGCAGGCTGGCAACGGCAGCAGGTGTCACGCATGTTCCCACCCAGCCTGTGCTCGGGTCAGCTCCCCACAGGGTACACTGGCGGGCAGCTGACGGAGCAGAGCGGCCCCCATTGTGGGTCAGGGTGGTGGCCCTGTGTCTGTTGGGTAGAGGGTGGGGGGACTCCTTGGCGGGGACACTGAGACCCTGGGAGGTTGCACTGATGGCATGGCAACCAGGACCAGACAGAATGTCTCAGGAATGGGGCGGGACTGGGCGGGACTGGGATGTGGCCTGGGGGTGGGACAGCTGTGGGGTCCGCATAGGTTGTGGGTGGGGCCAGGAGAGGTGTGACTAGGAGGGGGGAGCCAAAGAGTGGGCGTGGGACCAGGAGGAGCAGGGGCTGGGTGTGGGTGTGGCTAGAAGGGGCAGGGCCTGGGGGTGGGAGGGGTCAGGAGTAGGGGTGGGAGCAGGAGGGGAGGGTCCTGTGAGTGGGACCAGGGCCGGTGGGGGTGAGGCCAAGAGGGCCTGGGGCTTTCTCTTCTTCCCCTCCACGTTACCCCTCTCCTCAGCGCCTGCCTGGCTTTTTAGGACCTTGAAGGGGCACCTGCTCTCCCCCAGCTGGGCAGCCTGGGGGCCCAGCCAGCACAGCCCCTCCCAGGGGGCCCCACGTGAGGCTGCTCTGGGCCAAGGCAGGAGCTCTGAGCTCTTCGAGGTCTGGCCTAGAGAACCTCACGGTAGATGATTCACACAGAGGCTGGACTCCCTGTGACCGCATCCTGTCCCCAGCCCCTCCCTGACACTGCTTTCTTCCTGTTCTCAGGGACTTTGGGTTGGCTCGCCAGGGTCGGGAGAGGGCGGGATGCTGGGCCTCCACTGCCCTGTGGAAGTGGTTTTCTCTTCCTGGCACTTGGGCACTGGCTTGAGGGCAGCCCTGCCTGGCCGAGGACAGGGACAGACAGACGCGTTCCCATGGTCTGGTTTTGGCGGAAAGCAGAAGGCTCTGTTACCTTGTTGGAGGCGGGAGGACCTTATTTGGTGGTGAGGTCACGAAGCACGAAGGTTCCCCCTCCCTCTGGCCACTGCTGAACCCTGCAGACACCCCCACAGGGGTGCTGGGTAGCAGGTGGAGGCCAGCACCGCAGTCAGCCCGCAGCCTGGGCTGGCTGCTTTCGTGCTATTTCTTTTAAATTTAAATGCCTGGAGGAAAGAATCTGGAGCCATGACAGGAAACTACGTTTCCAGCTTCTAATGAAAACGCTAGAGGCTCTGCCCACCCCCTGTCCTGTGGCTTTGCTCACTCCAGGCACCGATCTGGGTTGGGCGGTGGTCTCCGCGGCCCCCCGGTGCCTCCCTCCCCGCCCTCTGCTCCACTTGGGGAGCGGAGACACGGCGCCTCACCGCCCAGCCATTCCTGTGTGAATCACACAGAAAAACCCAACTCACTCAGTTTCCTTCCTCCGACCTGCAGACCCTCACGTTTGCACAGTGCGCGGACTCGGTCCCTGCCCTCCCCCCTGGTGCTCATCTGGCCCCTGGTCCGAGGGTGGGGTGGGCTCCCTCGGGGCGGGTGCTGAGCCAGCGCCCCGTGCCCTGCCCCCACAGTTCCTGTGCACGGTCGTCGCCATCCTCCTGCACTACGTCTACACCAGCACCTTCGCCTGGACCTTTGTGGAGGGCCTGCATGTCTACCGCATGCTGACCGAGGTGCGCAACATCGACGCTGGGCCCATGAGGTTCTACTATGTCGTGGGCTGGGGCATCCCGGCCATCATCACAGGTGAGGACTGGAGGAGCCGCCCTGTTGGGGTGGCCCCGGGCCAGGGGCCCACCACTGCTTGGGGAGCCCATGTGACCTCGCCCACCCGGGAGCCCACAGCCGGTGAGCCTACACCCCTGGGCCCGGGCGGGCCAGCTCTCTGGCCTCCTCTGGGTACCAGACACCCAGCGTGACTGGCCCCTGTCAGAGGAGGCCCTCCCCGCCCTTGCATCTGTGCCGTGAGTGTGATCACTCGGTGCCCACTGGGGGGTTGCGTCTCTGCTCAGGGGTGGTGTGGGCTCCTTGAGGGCCGGGTGCGAGTCCGCTTAGGGTTCTGTCTGTGGCACCGAACAGACAGAAACTCCACGTCCGCCCGGCGTGTGGGTGGGTGGGTATGTGTGTGTGTGTGTTCTGTCTGCGGTGTGTGTGTTGTGTGTGTGGGATGTGTAGTCTGCATAGAGTGTGTGTGTATGTGTGGGAAGGGTCTATATGTTGTGTGGTGTGTGTGCGTGTGTACCCTGTAGTGTATGTGTGGGGTGTGTGTGGTCTGTGTGTACTGTGTGTGGTGTGCGTGGTCTGTATGTGATGTGTGTGGTGTGGGTGTGTGGTCTGTATGGGATGTGTGTATGTCATGTGCGTCGGGTATGTGGTCTGTATGTAGGGTGTGTATGTGCTGTGTGTGGTCTGTATGTGATGTGTGTATGTAGTGTGTGTGGGG